AAATATTTTTTATTGAGATGAATGGTAATTCTTTGAAACAGTTGGCAATTTCTTGCCTTATGGAAATAGCCATCCCTCTACTTTTTTATGGAACAGTTAAAGCAGAGACATTTGGCATTCCCAGAAGAAAGCCTTTTTTTGTTGTTGTTGTTTTGTTTTTTGGACAATCTTCCAGGGCTTTGCCTGGGAAGTGTTTGACCATCTGCTAACTCTAGGCCTTTGAGGTTGGGAAAGTTCTGTGTTTTAAAGGGAAATTTAATTTCTTGTTGAAGGAGATCTCAAGTTCAGAGAGGCTGTCATCTCCTCCGTCCCACCCTTGTTTGTGGTCAGATGAAACCACACCAAAAAAAAGTTGATGCCTTTTCACTAACACAGGTGTATAGGCATGCCTGTAATAATCAATTATTTACATAAGGCAGAGAAAGTGACTCAAGGTCAGAACTCAGGGATAAATGCAGCCATTCTGTCCTGTGGTCCTCCAGATCAGGGATGAGAAAAAAAAAAGAAAAATGAAGGAAGCTGCCAATCCAGCCTTGTAGAGGCAGGAAGGGCTACTTCAAAACTCTGGTTACTTGATCATGGAGAGCAAGTTCTCTCAAAGTGTTTAACTCAGATGCTGAGCCTGTAGTTGCATGTGGTCATAGACTCCTTAGCTAAGTTGCCCAAACAAAACCTACCCAGGAGGCTAAGGGAAGTCGAGGCTGCAGTAAGACAATCATCCTGCCACTGCACTCTGGCCTGGGTGACAGAGTGTGACCCTGTCTCAAAAATAATAAATAAGTAAATAAAAAGAATGAAGTTTTTGGAACCACACTTCCTGGCTTTGGTGTGACCAGGCAACCTTGAGACAATCATTTCACCTCTCTGTACTCAGTTTTCTTACCTGTCCAATGAGTATAGTGAAAGCACTTACCTCACAGGGTTGTTACAAGGATTAAAATTGCTAATGTATTTAAAGAAGCTAGAACAGTGCCTGGTACTTTGTAAGTACTACAAAAATGGCAACTTTTACAATAATTCATTTTGACAAATGATTTTACTGTTGCTACTTTTGTGTTTTTTTGGCTGCCACTAAATGAGAAAGTCATGCTAGCTATTGGAATCCATTTCCTCATCTGTAAAATGAGGGTGTTGTACCCTATAAAGTTAGGACTCTGACACTGTCCTTCTAAGACACACAAATATGAATTTGCTTGTGTTTGTGTTAAACAGTTTGGAGGTGTTTATATAACATTATAATTGGATGTAATAATCTTTTTTATTAATACAAGATATATTAAGTATTTTAATCCTTTTTACATATTTATTGAGTACCTACTATGTGTCAGACATTGTATTAGATGCTGGGAATTCAGCATCAAAAACCCAATACCCCTGTACCCCGTACTTGTGGTGTTTTCATTCTAGAATTTTTCCCTTGGTTTGCAGCTGTATCAGCTACTTGACAGAATACTCAATAAGTGTATAGGGAACTAGGAACTGGGATCTCAATTCCAGCAGTATGTTTAAGTTATTTAACAGTAATTTAATAGGAGGCTTAATGAAATTTTATAAAGATGCAAAAATTCAAAACTTTGAGTGTTAGGTGTCCCATTAAATTGCTAAAAATTGAATTTTTATTTCCTACCTTGGCCACCACATCCATAAGTTTTAAACCAGAAGAGCCAAGTTTATGCTTGCCAAGAACTCTTTAGGAATCCTAATACGTGTATTAAATTAAAAAAAAAAAAGATAACTTCAGGTGGAAACATTAAAAATGCAGACCAGTTTGTAAAAGACCATGTTACAACCTCAGGACATATTTATAGTTGTACAGAAAATAAATACAGTATGGATTTTTTAAAGATCAACTTATAAACCTGATTTTGAAATTGCTCATAGTGTTTCTGTGTATGAAATGAAGTAAAGGCGTGAACCAGATTTGGGCTTACATTAATTCTCAGCTGGTTATTTTTGAGGGTAATGAGAGTATAAAGAAGTTCCTCTTGAAAATATGTTGAGTTTGAGGTGACCACTAGCATCTGAGAGGCATGTGGTTTAACCGTACAATGTTGCTAATGGTTGATTATTTTGCATTTACAAATTGTATGTAGTAGTTGTATGTAGTTTATTTATAAAAACAAAAACCTGTACTCTTTGATAAAGAAGACTCAGTTTTGCAAACCGTCAAAGACCTAAGATATCATGAGATGAAATCTGTCTCTTCTTCCTTCTTCTGTCTTCTCCCCATTCTCCCCCTTTTTGCAGTTTACGCAAAAGGTGAATACAAATATTTTAGTGTGTCTTATTAATAATACACAAAATTTTTGTTCAAAATAGAAAACCAAATTTTACTTTTGTATTAGTGTATTATCAATATTAAAACTAATTTTAATAAAACATCATAAATAAATTTCTCAAATCTATCATCTTTTAACCTCAAGATTTTCATAAACTTTTCATTTTACATTTTTTCCAACTTTCTATATTTATCTCATGTTATCAAATTTTTTACTCCTTCAATCTGAAACCTTTAAGAAACCAGACAAAATTTTTAACACACATTTTTATGCCCTTTTAACTTTCCTCATTAAATGCATATTTTGCATTAGTTTGTACACTCTGCATACAGAATTGTTTCTTTCACATCTAGTAGTTAAAAACTAATTTCTAGTGAAAACCCTCAAACATAATTTTGAAAGTAATTTTATATCAGTATTTGTAAACAAAAAAAATTTATAATTTTTTTAGAAAAATAGTTTTCCAAAGTTTTCTGAAGTTTGAAGGAAATTCAATTCCATTTCAAAATTCAATTTTCTAAAGTTTGAAGAACCTTCAATTCTTCAAATTACCGTTTATTAACAGATTTAAATATATTTAGCTTTTCTGTGCCATATAAAACAACATGTCAAGGTATGTAAACTTAAACTCGTTTAATAATCAATATTTCAGTATCTTAAAGATGACTCTGACAGTTTATGATTATCTGTTACCTATTTTAATATAACATGAGTCTAAGATTTTAGATTACTGGAAATAATTTTGAATCTACAGACTATACTGGTAGCCTCTCTAATGTCTTCCCCCAGTAATTCTAGGTCCTAAGTAGACACGTGGCACCCAGGAGGACTGTGAAGGTCAGGAGCTGTCTGCCTCCATCAGAACAGAAGTCAAAGCTGTGAAAGCTATACCTGGAGGATCCAACCCCTCCCAAAATAGCCAGGAGGTAAAACAGGGAAAGCAGAGGGAGAAGGGGCCGTATCTGGCTTAATGCTGGCTTGTAGTTGCTGGTCTAGGCACTAAGAACATGTCTCCAGACCTGGTTATAGCCATCTATCCAGACCTGATTGTAGCCATCTATCCAGACCTCTGAATCCAGAGACTCTAAACCAAAGACATAAGCTCACATTCAAATCAAGCAAGTAGCTAATTATATGTAACTGATAATTTTGAAATAATTTTCATTTTACCAACAATTTAAAAACCAGTTTTATGTACCAAATATCACAAACACATAACACATATAGACATACAAACACACAGAAGCAGCTCCTATAGCTCTCATGAAGGATTTTCATTTGCGGGCTTTTAAATACTTTTTCTTCTCCACATTCTGTCTATCAATATTCCAACTACTGGTTTCATTGCCCTAAGTATTTTTAACTAGGCAACAAATTTGCATTTCTAAAAGGATAACTCACAGGTGGAACAAAAAATTATATTTCATAAGCACAGAGCTAAGATTTTGGTTCTAAATAATGTATCATCATTTGCTCAAACCAAGGTGGAAAACATTGCTCAAATTGAAGTTCACTTAAGATGGCCAGAAAAGCACCTTAAACAAACATATGACTTCTTATGTAAATTTAAAAGAATGGTATGAGTTCCTAATGTGGGGGTGTGGGGGGGGTGCAGACATCCTTAAAAATGCAGATTTCCTTTACAGATGTAAATTTATTTTACAAAAGAGCTTCAATATAGGCAATTAACTTCCAAAAAGGTGTATTTTAGTTTAGTAGGGTGTTCTTGTTAAAACAGCTACTGTTTTTTAGCAAAAATTACTCAGTTCAGGGTAATGGGTCAAGCCCATTAAGGAATAGGGTTAACAAAGCATTATAAGCCTGGACTCAGCATGGATAGATCTGAAAAAGAAATGAGCCCATTACCTGACGGCCTACCTTATATACATACTTTATCTAGGATAGCTTTCCTTCCACCTATGGGATGGGATAGTAACTAGGACAAAAGTTTAGCAAATTTAATTTTTTTCAATAAGTCACGTAAGCATTTTATTTGCCTTTTATGAAGTCTTTAAATAAAAGTATTGAAATCTTTTTAGAAGCTTCTGCATATCAGCAGACATCCCTGGATGAGACTAATTTGGGAGACCTCACTTTCAAATGAACTTCAGTGCAATGTAGTCATCTGGAACATTCCACTGTAACATATCTTTAGTAAGATTTCACCATTTCTGTAAGAGTTTGCTGCTTCTGGGGTCTAATACTTAATGTATGTATTAGCTGGAAAGAACTCAGTTCTTTAGGAATTAAAGATCCCATTTTTACCTAAAATATTGACTTTCACTCTCAGGTTTCCTTGATCAGGTTAGCCAGTGATTTTTTTTCCTACCTAAGTGCTCAAGAAAAATGTAACAAAGAGGTAGAACACAAAAATCCCTGCAAATTTTCAAAAGCTAAATTTTACACCCCCTGCAGTATTGCCATTTACTACTAGCTAATTTTTGACACAGTGAGATGTGAGAGGCCTCTAACTGGATCCAAACCAGTGAACTACTAGATCCAATCTGATTCGGGACCCAGTCCAGTTTCTGTCATGACGTCTAAACCCAGTTTGCATCAGAAATTTGCTCAAATAGACTCAGAGAGCTCAAAACACAAATTCATGGAACTTTGGAATCTGAGAGAACTTACCATGATCCCCAGCTACTCCAAGTCAGCAGTGGGCACGATGGGCCCCGCAGGGACCTCACTTGGTCACTCAGCACTCCTGGGGGTTATTAGAAGCTGTGTTTTGGATCCCACTTCTAATGTCATCTGTTAAAAGAAATACTTCTGCTGAATTAAATTTTAAAAAGTTTAATTGAGCAAACGACAATTCATGAATTGGGCAGCCTCCTGAGCCAGATAGGCTCAGAGACTCTAGCAGAGCCACGTGGTGGAAGATTTATGAACAGAAAAAGGAAAGTGATGTAAAGAAAATGGAAATGAAGTACAGGAACAGTTGGATTGCTTTCAGCTCATCATTTACCTTACTTGAATACAGTTTGAACAGTGGCCACCTTTGAGTGGCCAAGCATAGACTACGGTCTGTATATAACTCCATTCAGGTTGTAGTTCTCAATGTACAGAGATACCTTTAGGCTGAACTTAAAATACGTAAGGATGCAGTTTTAGGCTAAACTCAATTTAACAAGTTCAACTTAATATTAGGTGATAGTAGTTTAAAGGAAGGTTTAATTGAACTTCCATAGTGATGGAAATGCTTTTATCTGCCATGCCCAATATGGTAGCCACTAGCCAACATGGGAAGTGTGTCTGGGTTATGGAGGGGATAGATTTCTAATTCTAGTTAATTTCAATGTATTAAAATTTAAATAGTTCCGTGTGGCTAGTGGCTACCTTATAAGACAGAAAAGTTTAGAGATGTAAGTCAGAGAACTACACACATCAACACAGATTATTACTATTTTCAGGACAAGGAATGGAGTTTTATGCTTCTAACAGCAATCTTGTTTTAAAAAACATTATTAATATTCCTATTTTACAGATGGTGAAAACTAAGGCAGAGTGGCACTATATTATTTGGTCAGGTTCATCCACATTTGGGAAAAGGTTTAGAAGCATGGGTCTTTAGGTGAGCAAGTGTCAGAACATTGAAGAGAAAGCAAGGAACCTTTGTCCATATTCTAATGGCCAGAGCCTGTGAATACACTGCCATGTAAGGAGACTGCTGATGTGACTAAGTTAACAATGTTGAGTTGTGGAATTATTCACATGGGCGCAATATAATCACAAGGATCCTTGTAAATAGAAGACAGAGGCAGAAAGAAAGAATGAAAGAGACGGCATCAAAAGAAAGACTCATCCCTCCGTCATAAGAAAGATTCATCCTTACATAGCTGACTTTGAAGATGGGACTGTGAGGCAAGGAATGTGAGTGGAATCTAGAAGTTGGAAAAGGCTAGGAAAATGGATTCTTTCCCAGCACCTCCAGAGGAACACAGCACTATGGGCACCTTGATATTTGCCCAGTGAAATCGATTTCTGACTTCTGACCTCCAGAACTATAAGATATTAAATTGTTTTAAGCCATTAAGTTTGTGGTAATTTGGTACAAAAGTAAGATAAAACTAACAAGGCAGTTAGGCTACAAGTAAGAGAATGAGTTACAGGTTGTTTTAATTAAAAAAAAAAAAAAAAAAAAAAAAGGTGCAGTTGGCCTGATGTTAATGGCAGTGGAAATGGAGAGAAAAAATAAATATGCAATACGAGGAAATCAGAATCAGCAAAAGTAAAATCAAAAGGTAAGGTTTAGAACAACAAAAAAGATGGACCACAAGTGTTGAAGCATGAAGCATTTCTCCTAAGAAAAATGCTTCTCAAATATCTCTGTATGTGTGACCTCATATAGCACAATATGTTAAGAAAGGAGCTGGGACTCAGAGAAGTCTCTCATCATCAATTCATGGAGGACTTTAAAATCTCAGAGAGCCGCCCACACTTGGCCCAGCTTACCCGCTGTTGGCTTTATTCTGCAAGCCCCATATAAAACAGCAGCTGCTGTCTGCATCAACATTGCTGTATTATGAAAATTGTGGGGGATGTAATTTTTTTTTTTTTACGTTACTTGGCAACACATTTCTGTCCAGGTGTTTGAGAAACTCAGACCATAATTATGCCAAAGCAAGAGTAGATGAGAAGTTCAGTCAAGGAAACCAGATTGCTTTTTGTCAAGAGAGTCTGTCAAGAGAGATAGCCTGGTGTGGTGGAAAGAACGTGCGCTTTGTTGAAAATGCTGAATTTGCATACTGATTCTATCACTTAGTTCTGAGATGTTGTACAATAAACTTTTAAGCTCCCTGAACCTCATTTTTGTCATTTGTTCAGCACAGGTAGAATCACATCCAGCTTGTAGGATTGCCGCATGGCATAAATGAGTTGATGAATATAACGTGTTAGCGCAAAGTGGATACTCAGTAATTGCAATAGACACAGCCAGGGCTCCAAAGGACATGGAAATTGAGTTAGTGGTCATATTTTGCAAGAGTATTGCTTTTCTATCTTAAAAACTGAAAATAGATTTTATTGACTAAACATATAACCAGACAGCACATACGCAATGGAATAAAACTTATGTCACAAGAAGGCACTGTGGACATGACGTCTGAGACCTGGAAGTAATTATTAATGTCAGGGTAATATATTATGTAGATGTTAAAAATAGCTCAAATGTAGACGTTCTTTTTCCCTATTTGAAGTATGTATATGATGTTCATTACTGTGTTGCCCAGATTGGGAGCAACTGGAGGAGAAGAATTTTTGTACAGGATGGAAGGGAGAAAGGCAAGAAGGATGAAAGCAAGCAGAAAGGGAGGGAGGGAGCATGGAAGAGAAGGAGGAAGAAGAAAGAAAAGAAAGAAATGAAGGAGGGAAGCAAGGAGGAAAAAAATTTTAGTAGAAAGTAATGAATTTAGAAAGGAAGAAAAATTATAAAAGATGGAGAGATGAAATGTCTAATTACTCATCCCTCTTCTTTGCCATGCTTGGAATGAACAAATATAAAGTGTTAATTCATCCACTCATTTTCCCATGCAATGGATATTTATTAACATTTCATCAGAAACTGGGGGTATAGAAGTAATTTATTTAGTCCTTAATAAACTTCATATTACTATCACCGTTTTATGAATGTGCAAACTTAGTTATGGTTAGCTGATTAGTGACAGACTAAGATTCCAATTCTTATCTGTTTAGCTCCAAGTTAAGTGCTCATTCTGTTTCCACACAATGCCATCCTAAGAGTAATAGAAGCAATGCACTATAAATGTGTGTGTATGTGTATGTGTGTCTGTGTGTGACAGAGAGAGAAATTTTGAAAGTTTGTCCATTTTTTGAACAATGTGAAAAAGTCATACAGCCATTTTTTAGGGTACTTGGAATACTGGTTATCATTTCTGTTCTTCTTAGGGAAAGCTATCACAAGGAGATTAACTAATATTAGAGATTTAGCACTGTACATAGTAGGTACTCAAAAAACATGTTTAATTACATGTGTAATTACATAACATATTTTGTAAAAGCAAAATATACCTCACAAATCCAAATACTTGCCAACTTTCCTAAATAATATACACCTGCAGAATACTACAATATATTTCACACATATTCAGGGAGCACACACTGTGTATTAGTAACTATACTGTGTGAAACTAATACAAAAATTAAAAGACCCAGAACCTAATCTGTAGCTCACAAAGGATGGAAGACAGCATGAGAAAGATGCAATGGCAGACCGATTTGTAGCTGATCTTCATATAAGATAGTATAAAGGAAATTAATATGACAGTTTTTATTTTTTTTTGTATCAAGGGAGAAATAACAAACACATTTTTTGGGGGGCAGTCAAAAATTAGGAAGAGGAGTCAAGAGAAACTTCACAGTAGAGGCAAAATTAGCAATTGGGGTCAGGGAATGGCAAAATATTCATTGCTTTCAGAAGGTAGCCTAATTGAGGAGAAACAGAGAGAAAGTGGGCCAGGGAAACTGGTTCTTGATTTTGAATAACATTTCAGGCAGTGCTAAGGAATACGGATTTTTTTTCTGCAATGGAGGTAATGAGGGTCCCTTGAATACTTTAAATGATGGTATGACATGAACAATTCATACACTGCTGGTTGCTTCCAATTGAAATGTGGTGGACTGAAAACATCTGCTTAGTTCCTACCTTAAAACCCTACTAAAATAATAATAAGGGAATTTTTTTTTAATAAAGAAGGAATCAACACACAAGGTCAAAGGTCAAAGAGGATGGCAGAGGAGCAACATTGACAATATTTTGAGCATTGAGAAGCAGATGAGCTGTAGACTCAATACCTGCCTGTTAGTGGGAGATCTTCACCCATGGACCCCCATCAGTGGGAGAGCCAAGAACTGGCTGGTTTATATAACAGTCTTCCTCACAACACAAATTGGGATGGTGTCAGGATAAAAACAGAATTGTTTTAAAGTCCTATCATGAAGGGATTAGAACCCTGAGCTCTTTCCTAGTGCCGCATAGTCAAGCCAGTAGATCTCCCCATTCTTACAGAAGGCAGAATTTTTCTTCTTTAGAGATAATATGTACAGGCCTCTGTACTGAGGTGCACCAGATATAGTTGTGGGTGAGACAGAATCTAAATAAATGAAATTTAAGTGAAACTTGCATAGAGATTTGGTCACTTTAAGACTTCTCTGCTAGGATTCTAGAACAGTCAATAATACCTATAACATCCAGTCAGAAAAATAAAAATGTTCTTAAGTATATGGCCAGCCTAACAGAAAACTTCTGTGTCCCAATCAAAGCAAAACAAAATAAAACAAAAACAAGCAAGAAAAGCCCAATAGCACAACAGCCTGTTCAACTTACAGCCAAGATTGCAACAGACAAATGCTACCATGCAGAGCTTCCAAAAGCTGTGTATGGCCAACTCCCAAAGCTGAGCAGGCAACCAAAAATCTCTAGACATTTGTGAAAAACTCTGTATAAAGATGCCTTGTGGTCCCCTAATTCTGCTATTTCCTTCTTCCGTAGAAATAGAACTTCAATTTGCAGATGACTGTCTTGGCAGCTACTGATAACTCTGTGCTAATTGGAATGTGTGTAAAAGTGACTTATAAAACATCTCTCATTGGCTTCAAAGGAAACTCTGACCCTGGAATTTCTCTCCTTTCCTCTTTCTGCAAGATGGTGCACCTGGGGCATAAGACTCAGCTTCCACAGTGCAGACAAAGACAAAAACTCTAGGTGACAGTAGAGAAAAACAGTGGAAGGAATC